TACTACGGACACTGATTTCCAACTGATTAAGTGCGGATTGCATGGCTTGGGCATTATCGCTCAGTAAGACAATATCATCCGCATGCTCAAGGTCGAGAAGTCTTTCTCCAGGCAACAGATCCAAACCACCATTACTTACATTCATCAGAGCTGTTTCCAGAATGTCGTCGATGGCAAAGTTGAAGAGGAATGGTAAGACTGGGCAACCCTCTCTAACCCGACTGCTCGAATGGAACGATGGAGAGAGGTGGTTGTTTGCCCTCACTCTACCTGAGGTGTTTTTATATAGGGTCTTTAGGATGTTAATAAACTTCTCAGGCACACCCTTCTTCAATAGACAATCCCAGAGAACAGTCCTATCCAACGAATCGAAGGCAGCCCTGATGTCAAGAAACACTACGATTGTTGGCCTTTGATAAGTATGGTGGTGTTCTAACATTTGGCGGAGGGTGAAGATATGATCAATACATCCTCGACCAGAACGAAAACCAGCCTGCTCCTGGTGAGTCAATCTTTCTCGGGTTTCGAACAACCTACGAAGTATGACAGAAGCCAATAGCTTGGACGCAATCGGAAGTAGACTTATCCCCCGATAGTTGTTACAGAAACGACGTGAACCCTTTTTGAAGATAGGGACAACTATCGACTCATTCCATGACGTTGGTACACTCTCTAGTTCCCAGGCCTTTGTAAACAACGTCGTCAATTCCTTAGTCAAAAAGTCACCACCATCTTTAAAAAGAGCCGGAGGTAAGTCATCTGGGCCAGGTGATTTGTAACGCTTCAAGAGTTGGAGTTCGTTGCGGACTTCCTCCTCGTTTGGTGGATCAGTCGTCACCGGCCATGGAGGGCAGGACAGTCTGACCGATGTTGCCGGAGCAGCAGGCCAGTTGAACTGCCCTTCGAAAAATTCTGCCCATCGTCCAAGACGTCGATGGATGTTAGTGATTGGCATCCCATCATCCTCGCAGATTGTTTCACTCACACCAGACTTCTTGCTGCCAGTGGCTCGGATGAGCTGGAAGAGATTCCGGTAGTTACCAGATGCAGCTGCTGCTTCCAGCTCATTAGCACGCTCCGACCACCAGGCCTCTCGGTCCTTACGCAAGCTTTGCCCAATTTCCTTACGTAACATCCTTCGTTTATGGTCAAACTCACGGTCACCCGGAGTAGACCGACGGGCTTCAATGAGTTGTAAGGAACCTGAAGGAACCCAGTGCTTATAAGCGGGACGTTTCGCAAACCCACAACTGACTGTTCCCGCCATTTTCATGGCGTCATGCAATTGCAACCAATGCTCATCTATACCTTTCGGTGGAGTGGTAGCTAGCCTAGAGGCTAGCTCGGTTCGATACTTACTAGCAACAGAAGTTGCAACCAGCTTGCTAATATCAATCCGTTGATGGCGGTCACTTCGTTGTCCACTGAAAAGTAAGGCAAGATTGGCGCAGACCAAGGCATGTTCAGAGTCCAGATAGGTACTCCAAAAGAGCGGCAGTCTTTTACACAACCACGCCAGCGTTAGGTAATCGCGACGTGATCAATCTGAGTCCAGGCTTTTGATGCAGAGGGAGGACGCCAGGTGGCACATCGGCGATGACTGTGTCGAAAGTTAGTGCTAGCCAGAAACAGGTTGTGGTCTGTGCACAGTTGCATTAGACGGTCCCCGTTATGTGTCCTGCGACCAACAAGTCCCCATCGGCCACCCAATCGACTCTCGTCTGTGCCTAGACGCCCGACCTGAGCATTTAAGTCTCCGGTTAGTACTACAATATCTGTCGAACGCACTTTCTGAAGAAGAACAGTCAACTGGTGGTAGAATTCGTCCTTGGTTGCATCCAGGCTGCGGTCTGTCGGGGTATAAGCGGAGATGACGAAAAGACATCGTTTCTCACGCCGATTTCTTCTCACTTTGATGGAACGTTCTAGTTTAACAGCACATAATCGACTGTTAATGGGGACCCAATCGATTGGTGCTGCCTCGGCTCTAGCGTTTAATGCGACACCAACGCCAGCAAGACCAGACGAAGATGCCACAGGGTCCCCGGATAAGCGCACGTAAAACAAGCTTTTCGAAGCGACAGATGGAGATCGAATTTGTAGTACTTCGCCAGAGTCTTGAATACGGGTCTCGGTTAGACAACAAACATCAATATTAAGACTTTCCAAAGACATAGCCAGCCCTATTTGTTGTCCGACCTGCACTAGTGTGCGAACGTTGAAGGCAGCCAGTTTGAATGGTGCACGTGGTTTCAGAGAAACTGCTTCAGTTCTCGTATTCGGTGGTAACATACAATTTTCAACCGGACAGTGACTCGAGAACGTTTATATAGAATCGAGTTTCCACCATAGTCATGCTGCTGTATAAGTCGAAAAATAAGGATACATAAAGTGGTAATAAAAGAGAGTGAATAAATGACGTAGTAAATAATAATAATAATAACAATAATAATAATATGAATTGTTTGACTGTTAATCGAAGTGTGAACAGAATTTTCAGTAAATATCGTCATTTCATTCTCGTTGTGTGTGGGCTGTGATACTGTCCGGATGCCCAGACTGAAGCAGTTGGTTTTTTAGGAGGCCACACCCCGAGCCTTTGACCTAAAAGTCACCCACAAGGCAATGGAGCATCGTGAAGAGATGCAGTCCCATGGTAGCCCGTGACCAGCGATTGGTTCATACTCCATTTGTTCCCTCAGGATACTGGAACAAATGTGCACCATTGGTTTAGGATCCGGTTAAAGTGCCGGACATTCGCTTTTCGTCCTCTCATTTTCGTAAACAACACCCCTGCCACGAGAAGGCAGTAAGTAGGACTTCCCTAGCAGAGGGTGTATACGCGTGGCCGTGTGAGAGCATTTTGAGAGGGAGGGCGAGCCCACCGCACACTTGGCCATACCAGGTCATTTGGTGGCTTTGCATATTACCGACTGATTCCTTTCTCCATTTATATTATTAAGTAATCATGCCCACTGCTGAGGTTATTATGAGTATCAGTTAGTGTAAACTAATCAAATTCAAAGAAGACTAAAAGAATAAAATTTTCAAATCTAAGTACTTTTCAAAGTAGGCATGTTATATCATTAATCATGGAAAGTTATGATTGAGTTTAATATAATTTCGACCAATAAGTGTGCCAAGTATATCTTTGTATTTTGATTTTCAACATTCCGTTTCCTTCAGCATAACCAATAGGGGCTGTGGATCACTGATTTTATTGGTACATATCTATTTAATTGGTATTATATTCAAACCATTTTAATTACTCTTGTTTTAACAACCGATTAGTGTCTCTAGATTGCTTAAAATAAATGTGATTCGAAAATGAGCGCACAACTATTCACTTAACTTCTGAGTTCATTTTTTGATAGCGACCACTTAAGTTTTGCTGTATTCACTTTAATTATATGTATATATAGTAAATGATTTCTTTGTAGACTAATTATTGTTTGCTGTTAATTATCTTTTTTTTTAAACTTGAAGATCACACCTTGCTACACAAATGTACATGTTGAGCAAAATAATCAACTGTAGATTAATATGAACTAATCCATTAATTCAGCTAAATTCAGCTTTAGTTTTTTTATTTAAAAGCCCAAAAGTATTTGAAGCTAACCATTATTTGCTACATAATTACATAGAAAATTTGTTCATAAAGACATCTTCAATGTAACTTTGGTGTTGATAGTTGAAAGGTTCATTTGACAAATCATCTACAGTCCACAGGATACATTTAGATTGATTGATATTTTCAGCTTAAGACACTAGTACGATGATCTTCCAGTACTATCAGTACTTACCTGCCCCACTTTCGCCATGGTTGACTTCAAAAGTTATCACTCCTTACTGGTACTTCGACAACTTATCTGAGTACTAGTCAGTATCAAATACACAATTATCGTTTTTTTAATTTTTAAACATCAGCTCAACTGGTAGATAGATTTTGTCACAAGCTAACATTAGCTGGAGAAACTATCTCATTAAATTGTATTCGGTGAGTTCATAGTTATCTTCTAATTACAGTTTTCTGAAACCACTAAACTACCAATAGTCTGTAATTATATGATTATATATAAAGAGAGAGACTCAATAGGCTTTATTTTTTCATTAATGACAACAGAAATCGATTTCATTTCTAACCAAACACTTCTTTGTTCTAATTTTCTTTTACCTATATTCAAACCATTTGATATATTTGATCCACGCATGTACTCGGTGTTTAGGTTTAATAGTATTCACTGATATATTATTCGACAGTATTTTCGTGAATATTCTTTTCATTTTAATAAATGAATTTTAATTAGTTTAACATATTTACAAAGCATTTATTGATTAAGTAATGAATAATTCCATCTAAATTAATCTCAGTGGGTAGCGCTCATTATTTCGTTTGTTTGCTTGTTTTTGAATAGATTAGTAAATTTAGATCAAGCTGATGGATGCATTTTTATAATTTATTTAAAATGTAATCAGTAATGGTATTGGAATGCTTTAATACTATGTACTCATTAAGCTATTTTCACTTGACTGCTTGTCATTTTTCTCTCTAACTGAAAGTTGTACGCATAATGGTACAACGGTTATCTTAAATAGAAAATTATTACAGTTATCAGGCCTTTGCAAATCAAGTGGCTGTAAAGTTTGTTCTGATATTCGTGCTTTAAAGACGTAATTTCGTTGTTTGTCTCTTCTAATACATTGTTTGTGTAAGTCTATATTCTGTTCCCACAACTAAGGTATAAGGATGGCATAATGATTTAAATCATTTAAGTAGTATAACTAATC